AAGACTACCAACACAAGCAAGTTAAACCAGGAGACATGATCTATTTAAAAACCTGGGGAGACAACTGTCCTGAGTCCCAACTACAACCTAAATAGAAGGGCCCTCATCAGGCCCCACTAAGCACCCCAACTGCGGTAAAGCTCGCAGGGATACCCAGCTGGGTTCACTTATCTTGAACTAAACCTGTTTCTTGTGAGTCCTCACAGGAACCACAACCTAAGACCTGCTCTTGTGAACCCATCAAGGACCTCAAGCTCCTCTTCGAGAAACAAGAACCTGTTACAGATAAGCAATATAATGGCTAAGCCTTAATATGATTTTCTTTCTCGTATTTCTAACACTCTTTCTACTAGCCTGTCATATGCTTAGCCTCCTCCCCCAGGAAAGGAATTTTTCTGTCCCGGTTGGATTTAACCCTTAGCAGATCAAGTCCCAGATCCTCCACTCTACTAACCTCCTTGTGAAATCTGTCACCTCTAGGATACAACAATCCCATGTCAAGATGATGACACTTTGGGGATTCCAGACTATCCCTACTTTAGAAGAATCAGCCAGTGGCCTCTCTGATCTAGTCTCAGACCCCATTCCCTTGTCCCCCTTAGATCAGGCAGGGGGGGATTTCCATACCCTAGACAGGCAGGGACTGTGACCACTATCAGCAGGAAGCAGTCACTGAAAATGGATCCCGCTCCCTCATCAACCCTAAAAGATTTTTAGGGATGGAAGTCGGGGGGGGAGGGGGAGGCAGGATAGTAAGAAGCTAGGGAGAGTCCTTGATAAGTGGGATAAGCAACAATGATTTGCACATTCCAGACTGTCCTGGAACAGAACTGCCTTGGGCCCAGTCCCTCCTCAATAATATTTTTTCCATTGCTTTTCAGACAGTGTGGAAGGGAGAGAGAGACACATTGATGTGAGAGACATCAATTGATTGCCTCCCACACTCCGAGCAGGGTGGGGATTGAACCGGCAACTGAGATACATGCCCTTGGCCGGAATTGAACCTGGGACCCTTCAGTCCGCTGGCCTATACACTAACCACTGAGCTATACCAGCCAGGCTCAATGATGTTCTTTAAAAATAAAACTAACAGGAATATATCCCAAGGAACCCCAAACACCAATCCCAAAGAACTTATGTGTCCCTATGTTCATAGCAGTGCAATTCACAATAGCTAAGATTTGGAAATAGCCCAAGTGCCCATAAGGAGATGAGTGGATAAAAAAGCTGCGGGACATTTACACCATGGGATACTATGCAGCTGTAAAGAGGAAGGACCTTTTAGCCTTTGGCACAGCATGGAGGGAACTATAGAGTATTATGCTAAGCGAAATAAGCCAGTCAGAGAAAGACAAGTACCACATGATCTCACTTATATGTGGAATCTAATGAACAAAATAAACTGATGAACAAAGTGCATCCAGAAGCATGGAACAAACTGAGGGATCTCAGAGGGAAGGCGGGGAGGGGGGTGTGGGCAGGGAGAGATTAATCAGGGAACTTGTATGTTTATGGGCATGGCCCATGGACACGGACATTGGTGTGGGGAGGGCTTGGGGGTGGGATGGATGTGGGGTGGAGGGGGACATCTGTAATGGTCTCAACAATAAAGATAAAGAAACATTAAAAAAATTAAAATAAAATAAATAAATAAAACTAACCACCAGGCTGTGTGGCTCAGCGGTTGAGCTCTGACCTATGATCCAGGAGATCGAGGTTCAATTCCCGGTCAGGGAACATGCCCAGGTTTCGGGCTCTGTCCCCAGTAGGGGGCAGGCAGGAGGCAGCTGATCAATGACTCTCATTGATGCTTCTTTCCCTCCCCCTCCCTTCCTTTCTCTGAAATCAATAAAAACATATTTTATTTAAAAAGAATGTAAGTCAATTCCTTTAAAAAAAAATAAAATAGAAAATAAAACTAATCAGCTGTAGGGTATGTGGGGGGAGGGCTCAAAATAAAGAAATAAAATAAAAATAACCAAACATCTATTTTTAAAATTATTTAGTTAATTAAAACTAACCAGAAAATTGCCCTGGCCTCTCTATACACACATTTTGATGGCTTAACGTATTGAAGGACACACCTGAAAAGCTAATGAATATTCTGTTGAGACCCCCTCTGAGACATCCCCCAGGATGCCAAGAAAGAAAAAAAGACTCAAGACAAAGACACAAACATGTTCTCACTAGAGCTCACCCACGCCTGGAATCCTTGCTGTTTTTCTCCTAAACTTTCAGGGGCCCCATGAGACTTGCGGGGGGGGCGGGGAGCAGAGGGTAGCGTCCAACTGTCCAAGCTAACCTTCTGCACCTGCCTCCAAGGCCCCCTTTTCTCTGCCTTTCTCCTGTTGCTTCTTCTGCCTTAAGCCCGTCTTTTGTTTCACTGCCTCCAGCTTTAATAAACTTAATAGCAAAATCACCTGGAATCATCTTGTGAAATCTTTCTTCACAAAGCCAAGAACCCACATCTACAGGCGGCCCGAGGCAGACCCGCGTCAGCCTGGTCCCCTTTCTGGTAAACATCCCCACACCCCCCTTCAGAGCAGAGTGGCCTGAAGCCTCCCATCCAGGCAGGGCTGAGAGGCCAGGGCAGACACTAAGCAGAGGGGAGAGGAGTGAGTTATGTAGAGGGGAACGGACCAGCAGGAGGAACCCCTCACCCCACCTGTTCTGTGCTGAGCCCTCCCAGGCCACCCCATGTGCCTGTGTAGGGTGACCACGCCTGCTCAGGGACCCTCAAGGAAGCTTGCATCCCAGGGGTGGTTGGGCTATCTTTCCCCTCATGTGCCCTTCACACACAGCTCTTTAGCTCTGCACCCTGTCCTAAGCAAGGCTCCAAGTCAAATGCCCTCCTCCCAGCTGCTTCCTCAGGCTGGGCTAGGCCTGCAATTCGGAGAAGCAAGAGGGGGGGCTGGGCCCCAAGGCAAGAACATGTCCAGTGAGTCCAGGATTCCCTTTCCACCCCTGCGGTGCCTATCCCTCCCCCCAGCAGCATCAAGGCCAGCGTGTTCCTGCATCATCTGTGCTGGCTGTTCTGGCCTTTCTGGTGGCCTCGAGCATGCTGCTCACTCACACTCTGGGGAGTCACCACAGGGTGAGGCATCTGAGGGGTGCCTGTGTCCTGAGGATTTGTGTTCCCAGCAGAGGCAGCAAGGCCCTGGAGTACATCCTCACCGCCCAACCTCGAAGCTGACACAAGCTCTCTGAGAGCTCCTCCTCCACCCCCAGGCTGGCCTGGATGAGGGGAACCACAAGACCCATTAACAGGCAGACAGGCCCTGCCTTTGCTTAAGCCCTCTAGTGACCAAGGCCCCAAGGCTGTAATGTCCTGGCCCTGCCCATAGGCCTCATCTGAGGTCAAGGGTTGGGTCTAGAACCCTGAGAAGGGCCCTGGGGGGATCAACTGGAATGGTCCTGACAAGTGGGAGTGGAGGGGGCGCAGATAAAGCAGGGGGCTGGAGGGGTGTGAGGGTGAGAGCCCAGCAGTCTCCAAGAGACCCTGAGCCAAGGGACCAAGGGGAGCTGAGGAAGAGAGAAGGCCAGGTTGTAGGGGGCACCTGCTGGGGAGGGGAGAGGCAGGCCTCCCCCAGAGGGATCATACCAGCCTCACTGCTCCCAGGACCCAACTATGAGCACAAAGCTCACCCCAGCTTGGGGACAAAGGCTGGCATCCAAGAGGCATGAAGCAAGTCAGGTTAAAGAAAAGCTCAGGGCTGTGAAATGGAAAAGAACGCTGAGGTTAGCTGAGGTCACAGTGCAGAACGCCAGCGAGTGTTCCCGGAGGGGCAAGGCCCGTCTACTGAGTGGGACTTTGCGGACCGGCCAACCGCACACCACTCACTTCCCTGCACATCTGACCAGACCCACACGCCCTGGCCCTTGGTCCCACCCTGCGCGACCCCTGGCGGGCAATCCCAGGCTAAAGTCTGGGTCAGAGTCTGAGTGCCATCGGTTAGGGGGGGTCTCAACCGTGAAACATTGCTCAGCAAAGGAGATAAGCTAGTCTTGACTGCAGGGAACCGGCCCTCAGCCGGCGAAAAAGGCAGCCTCTAAGACAGGGGCCCCAAGCTGACAACTGGGGAAGCACCCTGGATACAAACAGGCCTCCGATTTGATTCAGGGATCACCGATCCCGCACAACGTCCGCAGACCCCGGGCTAGCGCTGGTCATCTCGGGGTCACAAACGAGCCGGGAGCATCACAGAGCCCGCCCAGTTCCCGCAGGCTGGAGCCGCCCCGCCCACCTGAAGCTCCGCCCCGCCAGGAGCTCCGCCCACCCGAAGCTCCGCCCCAATAGGAGCCCAACCCCCGGTCCCCGCCAGCTTCCGCTCCGGAAAGCCCGCGGTTGAACCCATGGTTTCCACAGCGCAGGCCCCAGTCCAGGCGGTGCACAAACCCCAGCCCCTCGTCCCCGCTCTTTCCCCTCGAGCGTTGGGCGCCCAAGCGACACTGCCAGGCCTCCCACCGCCGCGGCCCCCGTTCGGCCGGCGTTCCTACCCTCGCTGCCGGCTGCGGCGCGTTTGGCCCGGCCTCTCCCAGGGGCCGCGGGGGCGGCGCAGCACGGCCATTGTGATGTTTCTGGGAGCGGGGAGGTTGCGTCACAAACTCCTAGGTCTCGCGAGCCGGCTGTACGTAAGCGGGCGCCGCTGGTGTAGTGGTATCATGCAAGATTCCCATTCTTGCGACCCGGGTTCGATTCCCGGGCGGCGCACTCGTTCTTTTTAGTTTTCCCCATCTCAAAAAACTGACAGAAGAAATTTCCAGACCAAAGAAAACCAGAAGCATGGGGTAGCCATTCATTCCGGTGCAGCACGAACGAGACAGTTTCAGAGTCACAAGCACTTTGAAAATGTTAGGACAGCCATGGCGACAGGGCGCTGAGCTGAGAAGCTCCTACACACCGGCCACCCAAACTCTGCGCCCGGTGCCCCGCAGGGGGTGCCGCTCCCGATGCGCCCGCAGATGATGCGGGCCCCTTAAACCGCTGCGCGTGTCCTCCTGGGAACTGTAGTCCGTGGGAGCGGACTTCGCGACTGCCGGGCTATTAACTCCCCCGGGGCCTCCCAGCGGCAGTACTACCGCTCCTGGCGGACTCGCTGCGGGGTCGTGATGCTGATGGCAGCCGCCGCCGAGCGGAACAAGGAGCCCATCCTGCGCGTTCTGCGGCAGTACGTGGACCCTGCCCAGCGCGGCATCCGCGTGCTTGAAGTGGCCTCAGGCTCCGGCCAGCACGCGGCCCACTTCGCGCAGGCCTTCCCCCTCGCCGAGTGGCAGCCTTCTGACGTGGACCAGCGCTGCCTGGACAGGTGTGGGGGAAGGCGGGACCCCGGGTGGTGAAAGTGGGCCCCGTCCCGCCACCCCGGCTCCGCGCGCCACCGTGACCACTGTGAGCAGGGCTGCAGGGGGACCCGGAAACAGGGGCACGGGCCACCTCCACCCACCGGCTGCCCTCCGACAGCATCTCGGCCACCACTCAAGCCCAGGGGCTGTCCAACGTGAAGGCCCCGCTGTACCTGGACGTGACGTGGGATTGGGAGCAATGGGGCGGGATCCTGCCGCACTCGCTGGACCTGCTGCTCTGCATCAACATGATCCACATCAGCCCCCTGAACTGCACTGAGGTCTGTGGGAGCGTGGGTGAGCCGCCCAAGGGCCAGCTACCGCGCCATGGGGCACCCTTACCCCTGCATTAGAAGGGAGCAGGGTGCCAGGTTTGCCCCATTTCATAGAGCACTGAGGCCCGGGGGAGGTCAGGTTGAGTCTCCAGACCCCAGCGCAGGGCTCTTTTGGAGGGAAAGTTCCTCACTGCCATCCTGCTTCCCCCATCTCTAGGGGCTCTTCAAAGCAGCAGGACACCTGCTCAAATCCAAGGCACTGCTCATCACCTACGGGGTGAGTGCTCCTGCTTGAGATGGAACTCCCCTGGCCCTATGATCCCAGCCAGCCTCAGCTGTGCCCTCCTTTCTAGATTCCCTCCCTCCTTTCTCAGTATTTTCATTTGCCCTCTCCCCCACTACCTGTCACCATTGAAACAGGCCCAGATTTCCCCCTCTCAGTCTCCCTGTACCCCCTAGGCTCATGGGAGCAGGGGGAGGTGTGTCCTTTACGTCCTCTGGGGGCTGGCCTGCAAGTCTTCCCAGTGGCTGACTGGGGAATGGCTGACCCTGGGGTGTGGGCAGAGCTGTGTCCCTCTGTCTCCACAGCCCTACGCTGTCAATGGGAAGATCTCTCCCCAGAGTAATGTGGACTTTGACCTGACCCTCAGATGCAGGTTAGAGCTGGGGGGTGGGGGGGCGCCTGGCTGGGGGGCCTGGCTGGGAAGGCACGTGAGCTGGGTGACCCCCAACTCTACCTCTTTCCCCCGCTGCAGGAACCCAGAGTGGGGGCTGCGGGACACAGCATTCTTGAAGGACCTGGGCCAGGCCAGCGGCCTGCTCCTGGAGAAAATGGTAGGTGGGAAGGGCTGGGTGGCTGGGTGGCCTCCTTGGGCAGCTTCTCTAGCCAAAGCATCTCTCCCAGGTGGATATGCCAGCCAACAACAAATGCCTGATTTTCCGGAAAGAGTAACCCCTCCTGCATGCATATGTCCCCAGTGAGGCCTCTTCTGGGACAAACCCAGACAACCAGCCCCTGCCCTGGACCAGGCCATGCAGACTGGCCCTGCCCATTCTGGGGGCTCTTGATCAGTGGCCACAGGGCTGCTGAGAGCCTGGGAATAAAGTGCTATTTCCTGATGTCCTGTTGCTGGTGTCTACTACGCCTCTTCCTGGGAGCACCCCTTGTGGTGCTGGGTGTGCAGGCTGTCTCTCCAAGGGTTCCATTACTGGGGGCAGGAGGGGTCTCACCTGTGGGGTCAGGGCTTGGGGAGGTACTAGACCCTGCTGTTCCACTTGGGCAGTAGAAAAGGAAGGGAGAGGACCCACGGACTGCTGAGGCAGAACTGAACTGGCTGCATGGCCCTCTTGCCACCAGAGGTGGCACTCACCTCCAGGCCTGGTCCCCGCTTGTGCTCCCTAGTGACCTTGGACTAGAGCCAATGCCCCAGCGTGGTGGCAGGACCCCAGCTGGATTACAGGCTGGATGGGGGAAGGGTGGTAACCCTGGGAGGCTCAGCACCAGCAGGCCACAATGTCCCTCCTTGGAAACGCTTTTATTTGGAGGAGCTGGGAGGACTGGAAGGCAGGGGAAGGCAGAGCTCCAGGCAGGTTGGTCTAGTCCTGGAAGCGGTTGAGCAGCTCGCAGGCCCTCTTCTCTAGCAGCTCTGAGATCTTCTTGACGCGCTTCTCGCTGGCGATGCGGACATAGCTGCCAGCGTCCAGGACAGCCACACCATCTCGCACTTCACCCATAATGACCAGTGGGCCATCACCTGCTGTCACATTGGGGCAGGGGCAGGCCCAGTCCATGCCACTCAGTGTCACCTCCAGGTACTTGGTGCCCAGGAACCTGAGGCCCATCTTGTCGTCCTTGAGCACATCGTCTAGAGCCACACGGGCGATGCTGCCACCACCCGCCTCAGACTCCTCTAGCACTTCCGTGAGTCTCCCTACAATGGCAAAGTCACTGCGACATAGGCTTAGCGCGAGCTTGCTCCTGAGGCGGCAGGCCCGGCAGGGTGGCATGCGTGGCACAGGGCAGGCATCCTCACAACTCTCTTGGCTCTCAAAGTTGTTGCTGTTGCCTTCACAGCCACCATACATGAAGGGGTGACACTGCTGCAGCAGTGGGCTATAGGCCCAGCGTGGCTCCCAGCCCTGGCAGGGACCCTGCACGGCTGGCAGCACACAGTTATCCCCGGGTCCGCGGGCACAGGCTTGTTGGCACTCTTCATAGGTCTCAAAGCCCTGGGTGCCTCCATCACAGCTGCCAACATGGAAGGTCATGCAACCACCCCGCTGTGGGTCAAAGTGCCAGAGGACATGGCTAGAGAGGGAGCTGGCACAGGTCTGCGCATTGGGCAGGCACTCAGCAGGGGCGCTGGGGGCCCTGTCCCTGGTTGGATCCCGCTGGATCACAGAGAGTGGGAAGTCAGCCCGCAGCAGGCCAGCAGTGTTGCGTGCAGTGCAGGTGTAGAGGCCGGCGTCCTCAGGCTGGGCATTGTAAAGCACCAGCTGCCCAATGCTGGTGACCACCACATTGCCGTACATCTGGTCAGGCCGCATGATCAGGTTCTCCCGCTGCTCACTCTGCTTTTCCCAGGTCACAGCGGGTGGCGGGCGCCCACTGACATCACAGTGGAGGCTGGCGGTGCCCCCCACATACACCACCTGTGGGAAAGGGCTGCTATAGAGGGCAGGTGGCACTGGGGTGTCCCCAGGCGTTGGGCGGGCTGTGGTCTCGGGTGGCCCTGGGCTGCTGGGTGGCCAGGTAAGGATGTGTTTGCAGGGTACGACGTGCAGGCGGAGGCCACGCAGGCAGGCCTCTGCATCCATGTAGCAGCGATTATAGTAGGTGAGGCCATCTGAGGCACAGGTAAAGCTGGGTTCCTTTTCACAGCGGTCACGGCAGCGGCACACAGGTTGCCCGTCCCAGATGTCACAGTCAGAGCCCTGCTGTGGGCATGAGAAACCCTCGCAGGAGGCCACCAGTGCAGGTGTGGCCAGGCCACCATCTGGGAATCGGGCAGCCACACAGCTCTGCAGCCCACACACATTCGTGCAGCACTTCTCAGTGGCCAAGCAGTCCTGGGGGGTGAGGAGCAGCTTAGCAGATGACCAGACTCTCCCAGCCCACCCAGGGCTCTGGCTTTGCAGGCATGGTGTGCCCCTACTGTATCTCCCCGAGCCTGTTTCCCCTCTGGGAAGCCAAGCAGGTTTGCACAAATTTGCTTTCCAAACAGTGCAATTTCAGCTGCCTCACTGACCAATCCTTTGTCATCTTACTGAATTCTCAGAGCCCCCGCCCCCCAATGCAGGTTTAATTATTATTCCCATAGTACAGATGAAGAAACTGAGGCCCAGAGAAGATGGGCAGCATGCTCAAGGCCACTTCAGGGGATGCATGGCCAGGCTGCAAAGGTGGGGCATCGGAATGTGACCCCTGCCGGTCTACTTGGCTGGTCCTGAGAACAACTGGTCCCACGGTGGGGGTGGGCAAGTTTGGGGAGTGATGAGGGTAAAGGTGGGGTGTCCCTTGAGACCCTCATATGGGACATAGCCTAAAACCCCTGCAAGATGTGGGAGAAGAAAAAGAGGTGGACTCCAAGGGCTCAGGGCAGGGGTGGGGTCTTCCCGCTGGCCACCCTAG